ATAAATACATTACCGGAGTCACTTATTTGATTATATATATGTATATATATATATATCTATATTATATGAATAAATATGTGTGCGCGTGCGTGCGTGCGTGCGTGCGTGCGTGCGTGCCACACACACACACACCTCATCATCGTCCGCGAATGAAATTTACCGCTATGGTATAATTCGATACAACCCCGACGTTACTCTGAACAAATTCCGAGTTTATGCAAACTAAAACCACAAGTCAGATTTTTATAAATTAGTTGTAATTGATGCTGAACAAGCTTCCTGCCCATGCAGATTGCATGTAGGCCTAAATCATAAATTTTCTAGTTCAAAGTTTTATACATCTGTTGTAATTGATGCTGAACAATCTTCCTGCCCATGCAGATTGCATGTAAATCATTAATTTTCCAGTTCAAATCTTTATTAAATTAGTTGAAATTCATGTTACACAAAGACTTCCCTCTTGGTTTGTTTGTTAAATGCAATTTTCACATCAAAAATGTGAGTTGGGGCAAAATGGACCACGGGGGTCCATATTACCCCATGGGGGTGTGCCATCTTGCCCCATACGTGGGGCAGAATGGCCCTTTCAGACCAAATATTATATTGTAATTTTTACGGAAATCTGAAAAAGATAAGGGACCTCCACTCCTATTGTTGTAAACCTAATGCCAACATGAGGTAATCAAGTGGATATGGACACTCTAAATTGTAAGCATGTGTATGTGGGGGAGCTCCAAAGTTAAGGGGTCCGTTATGCCCCACCTTCCCCTAATTAGGCCTGCCATTGTTAATTAGCTTTAACAGTTCTTATGATTCTGGTGTAGCTATCGCACTGGTTGGCGCACTTCCCACATTACACAGCCCTCATGGACTCAAGAATGCTGAGATTTCCGGTTTTTGGGAAGTTAATGGCCTTGTTAAAGGTATTTAAAACATGTCATCCAAGGTCTCTGTGTTCCTAGCCATTCGTGTAATATATCTGCCCAGTTGGATCTAACAAACACATGTCCTTGGAACCGAGCCCGGGGAGAACATAGATCCGACAACTCACGTACAATAACGAACAGCCAGCCTAACAACGGATACAGCTCTCAAAGGGGGCGTAAAGCACCAAACCTACATGAAAGCGATAAAACGAATAATTAGCGAATAAGTGAACGGAATTAGTACCATAAAGCAAATAATTTGTAATGAAGCAAATATAGCGAATATTAAATAGAAACGCTGCACACGCAAAGTATTATGGAAGGGGCACCATAGAATGATTGAACGTATAGAGGGTTGTGCCGACAATCGCGCCGTACACCGCCTCTACGTAATGCCAGGAATGCTCAGCGAACCAACTGCTGACGGCAAAGTTCGTATGCGAGTTAAATATCAGAGTCGTGCAGACGCTGGCGAAATTGTTGGCGATTGTCACGGTCGAGTTCCCTCTCTTCTGTAGCATTGCGCGCACGACACCGTATCGCTGCACGCATACACACGCGCGCGCAATACAGACCGTGGTTGAGCATTGATTTCCTATTTAAACATTGATTCTAATTTTTAAATTTTTTATTATGCTATTCTAAAATAAGTGTAGCCCCGTTATAATGCGATGGTTGGGGTTCATAAAATGTCATCGCGAAAAAAGCGGGGTCGCACTAAATCGGGATTATATATACGTAGCTATATGAGAGCAAAAAAGGGGGTCCAGCGATTCATCGCGTTATATCCAAATTCGCGTTAAATCGGATAATACGTTATATAATGAATGAATAATGATTAATACGTTAATTAATTAATACGTTAATAATGAATAATGATAAACTGAGGCTCACTATGACGGCGAGCGGTCGTAAAATGTTGTGTAACGTAGCATAATGTTGTAATACACCGTTGATTATACTTTACACCGCGTATATAACATCAAAACTGTCACCGAACATCGAGAGATAATATCGGGAGTAGGCCCTACATGGGAGTACATGAAATAGAGACGCTCTACGGACGTTAAAGGGAATTATAAGAGGGTTATTAGACATGAATTAGAATATAAACCATGTACTGCTGATAATCTTATATCCACTCTACCTTATTTCACCTTGTCTTGCCCATATCTGCCTATACCAACTTTAAGAAATTGTCATGCATTACTACAAGATCATTACATTTTTTGTATACTATTGTATGCAGTAGCATACTATAGATATTTAGTCTCCAGTTCTCTGACGCCCATTTTCCAGCCAAATAGTTCCTCACTTTAACCATATTTTCGTCAAGAGAAACACGTCAGGATAATTACAAGCGTCATATATGTTTAACCGGTGCGCACGTTCTTCGAGTTTTTTGGGGGCAAATAGCACACAATTGAAGGGAAAAGCAGCTGGTATTAGACGCTATGCTGAACTTGGTGCACTATTCGTGGCGATAACAATAATACTTCGCGTTTCGTGATTAATGCGTTTCCAAAACCAGTTAGTAACGAAAAAAATGAGTAACGTGAATCACGTTTGCCATTTACTTCCATTCTATAATTGGAGATGCGTGTCCATGGCAAATATTTCAGCTAAAATATGAACTAGAATGACAGTTGTGAATGAAAGTATTATTAAACGCATAAATTGATTATGTAATGATGTAAGACAGCATCATGATAATAGTGGGATCGAGCGTCAGGGAATAAATAATTAAAAACACTAACAGGGAGAGGAAGCAGAGGGAGATTAACAGGTAGCTCGCGTTTTCATCACTGTAATTGCCGGATTTGGGTGTATTAGGCTGTGCTTGACGTAGATGCCAAAATTTACTTAAATTTGACTTTGCTGATTGGTTGCTGCATGTTTACAGCGAAGTCTACTGTTAATTGTAGCAAATGAGGTCATTGTATAACAGAAAAATCTCGGCCCTAAATTAAATAATGCTGGATGCATTGGTGACTGTTTCACAAAGGTAACCAAGCAGAAAGCAGTGGTGAATAATTAAACTGGATGCTTGAAATGGATGACTTGAAAGGATAAATACACGTCCGCGTACGCGAGTGCTTGTTTGTGTGTGCGTGCGCATGTTTTGTGATACAGTATATGGATTACGAAGATAATGTGAAATCAGTAACAAATCAGAATCACTAAAAATCACAAAATTATGATATAAATGTCGATTGAATAAAATAATACGGTGCGAAAAAATCTCAAAATCGTTAAATTACATTATCTAAGGGACAACAATAGTGCGACACAAAATTAGAAATGTTCACATAACCCGTTATTAAGCATAATGAGTAATAAGTTATAATAATACGTTATAAATAAGTTATAAGTAATAAGTTATAATAAGCATGCAAACCCTAAAACTGATGCGATAGATTGTCTTGATTGGCCTCCTCTTTTCTCCGCTTTCTTCATTATAAACTTATAACTTTCTATAAAAAAATTTATCATGGTGAGACGAAAATTGGCATTCCCTCTTGCTTAATGAAGCCTGTTCGTTGCACTCGATCATCTTAGCGTGATCACTGTTTTCGGCACGTGCAATCTTCTAAGGATCTTTTTAAGTTTAGCTTTTTTGTCTCTGTGATTCCGTATTGGAATTCCCAGCCTTCATCTTTGGTAAATTAAAAATTTGCAACATTTTCCACTGCGATCCGCAGTGCGGATCTATCGATTTGATCCACTTCGCTCTCTGTCTTCGTTATAGTCCCCATGACTTTTGAAGACTAACATTTATGAGGTTATGAGGAGTCTGTCTCTTTGTCTACGCACAATGCGCTTATATCGCTATATCCATCGTTTTACGAATACAATAACGACGTAATCGGTAGATGGCGCGCTAGCCATAATGTCATGAAGCCATGGTTGCCATGGAGGCGTAGTGTGTTCACTACAGTCATTGTGCGCTACTGCGAAGCACACATGGACTCGTAACGGATATCGTACTGGGAAAAAAAGGCCCAGCGCAAAATGGGAAATTTACTTGGGAAATGTTGCAGAAAAGAATACGCAGCAGAAGATAGTAAAAGGTAGGATAACTATATGATGTTAATTTTAGGATTAAAAGTAGCTTTGTAACTAAATTAATATGTTTATGCGCGTGCAAACCAGACCGATCTCTGTGTGAAATAAATCGTAAAGCGCAGTTTGTGCTTAATACAGTAGCTATATTATTATTTTAATAATTGTGTTGCTGCAATGAACGAAAAGTTCCTGGATGTATGCGACATTTAAGTGTTCTTATGAAATCTAAACGCTTTGGTCGCAGAAAAAGAGTAACTGTAATTTTTTTTAGCTATCATCTACGAATGGAACTGCCTAAACCTGACAATCTAGCACAAAACGCCAATAAAGCGCGGGTGTTTCGTAAT